ACAAAACATTGCATCTTTTGATTGGTAAATATCCACAAAAATACATTAATGGTTTTGAGTCAAGTTTACCCATGAGGTGAGTATGAACGTGGACATAGACTGAACAACCCAAAAACTTTGTAGGGAAGGGTATGAAGGATATGAGATTGTGGAAAAGCCTTTAAGAGTGTATTATAGGGTGTTCGAAATACGAGAGTTCAGGAGGGCATGCGGTTTATCAAGCATGCAACGGCGAGAATAGCCTCTCCCCAAAGAAATTTTGGAACATGAGTAGTGAACATGATAGATTGGGTTACTTCAAGAATGTGTCTATTTTTTCGTTCGGATATGTCATTTTATTGTGGCGTATTAGCACAGAAACTTTGATGAATAATGCCGTGATCAAAAAAATATTGTTTCAAAATAGTTTCAAAGTATTCACACCCATTATCTGATCTCAATACTTCAATTTTAATGTGAAATTGATTTTGAATTATAGTGTGAAATTTTTGAAAAATTTCACCAACTTCAGATCTTTCTTTCATGAGAAAGATCCAAGTGATTATAGTGTGGTTATCAACAAAGAATACAAACCATTTTATTGCGGTGATACTAGTAACCCGATAGGGACACCATACATCACTACGGATTAATGAAAAAAGTTTTGTGGGTTTGTAAACTGAACTGGAAAATGAATTTCGAATATGTTTGGAAAGTTGACATACTTCGCATTGAAAGAAAATTGGATTTTTATTTCGAAACAAAGTAGAAAATATCTTTTTCAAGTACAAGAAATAGTATGTCCTAAACGGTAATGTCATAACATGATGGGGCATTCCCTATTTAAATTGTTTACAGATTCAAAATTAGTACATACCGCATGATGAGTTTGTCTACTAAGAGAAGAGTTGTCAGCTTTCAGTAGATAAAAACCTGAATTCATACTAGCATTGCCAATCGTCTTCCCCGAGTCCAAATTCTAAAATTCACACAGTTTATAGTTAAATGTAGCTACACAATTCAAGTCCTGTGATAGTTTGCTTATTGACAGGAGATTACAATCCAAATTTGGAACGTATAGAACAGAATACAAAATTAGCTTGGGTGACAGTGCAATTATTCATGTTCCTTCAACTTGAAAACTGGAGCCATCAGCAATTTTCACTGATAATTACCTCTGCAGTTACTGTATTCCTTAAATAGTGAGATATCCCTAATCATATGGTCGGAAGCACCCGAGTCAATAATCCACATGCCCCTTTTTGAGGAATAAATTGAGAGACCAGAAAAATTATCTTTATGAGCTGTGGAAGCATTACCAAGAACCATATTGGGAGAAAGCATTTTCTGAAGGAGGCTGATCTGTTCAGGACTAAATAGAGGACTTTTAGTAGGAATGGCTGCAGCTGATTCCTCCTCTGTTGAGAAAAAATTGCCCCGATGAGTCTCCTGCTTTGGTGACTTCTTTTCAGCTGGCTTCTTGTGAAGCTTCCAGCATCTTCTACGAACGTGCCCAAGTTTTTTACAGTATTCGCACCATGGTCGTCCCTTCCGCTCAGTCACCCGACTTGTGAGAGCTACACCAGCCTCGGATGAGAGAGAACTGCTTTCAGTAAGGTTAGGGCTTAGTTGCGATTCACCCATCATCACCTTCATCCTACTTTCTTCGCGTCGCACCTCAGAGGACACCTCTCTGATGTTCGAGAGAGGTTTGGTTCCAAGGATGCGTCATCTTACCTCGTCGAGGTATTTATTCAATTTGAAGAGAAATTTGAATATCCATTTCTGTTCCACGATGCTTCGGAATCTCCTGGCGTCCTCGGGACGGCTCCAAGCATGTTCCTTAAAAGCGTCAAGCTGCTGCCATTTTCGAGTAAGAAAATTGTAATATTGAGTTACTGCCTTTTCTCCTTGGTGCAGGTCATGAAGACTTACTTCGACTTCGAAGATAGCGGAAGTGTTGTCACGAGTGGATAGAACTCACGAGCTGCGATCCAGATATCGTGCGCAGCCTTATAAAGGAGAAAATTTTCTCCAATCTCGGTGGTCATTGAGTTCACCAACCAAGACATGACAAAATTGTTCTCTACTTTCCATGCCCGAGCATTTGGATCATTCGCGGGAGGTGGTGAGAGCTCTCCAGTGAGGTATTCGTTCCGCCCTTTCCCTCGGATGAACATTAACACCAAGGACGACCATTATAGATAGTTACTGTCATTTAGTTGATGACCAGTAACGAAAGAAGGAGCCGAATCAGTGAGAGTATGGTTGTCAGGCACCGGAAGATAGGAGCCCAAAAGAACTTCGGGCAGAGAAGAAATCTGTTCATCCATTGCCTATTGAATGCAAGAGGGATGCCGAAGAATTTGAATCAGGTATGCTCTGATACCATGAAGATTTTGAGAGTAGAAAAAACTCCTTTTTTCATCTTATTTCATCAATGGTTTTGTGCCTCATTTTATAGGCAAAACAAAAGAAAAAACAAAACAAATTAACAACCTTCCTTACTAAATGACAGCTAGCATTTTGTTACGGATGTTTGGTTATCTAACAAGAATAAAATAACAATGAGCAGTAACAGTAAATATAACTTATTCCTAATATTTCTACAAAATGCATGCCTGGGTTGTGGTTTAGACTCATACAGACAGTCGTGCAGTATCAAGGCAATCAATGACTCGAGTTTCAATAAAAAAATCAAATAATTTTCATTTATGGAAAAGTAATTACCTTTTCTACTTCTCCTTCAGGTTTATAAAGATGCGCATGCAAGAGAGCATGGTTCTCCAGAGAAGAGATGCTGTCCTTCAAAAAAATAATTGCTGGGGCATATGTAGCTAACTTTGTTTTTAATCCTTTATTTTCACCTTCCAAGGTGCTAACTTTTCCACTCAGTTTATCAATCTCTATATCTTTGGACATGCTTTTATCTTCAAACATCTTACAAGCTTTGTTGAGTTCACTAGTCTTTCCTTCAAGCAATGCTTCATGAACAATGGATATCTGCAGTTCACCAAAGAAAGCAGCAGCTTCAGTCTCCCATAACTCCAACTCTGTTCTTTCTTTAAGCAGCTCATCTCTCAGCCTTTCCACCTCATGTTTGATTTCTTTAAGTTCGAACTGCAGTTTTGACAACTCTGTGTTCAACTTCCCATTTGCTTCCCGCAAACGTTCAGCTTCCTTAATCTGATGATTGCAGTCTCCAGATAGCTTCGAAATCTGTCTCTTTTGATCTTCTTCTATCCCTGTGATTTTATTGTATTTAAACTTCAGAGCCTCCACTAGCTCATATAGTTCAGTTCTATCATTCTCTGCAGCAGCCAGCTTCTGTTCTGCTTCCAAGAGCTCCTTTTCCTTCTGGGATAAGAGATCCTTTCCGTTTAAAATTTCACAAGTTAATTTATCACGTACAGATCCTACTGAAAACAACTCATGATTTGAAATTTCCAGTGATTCTTTGAGCTTTGAACTTTCCATCTGTATGTCTTCTAACTCCCTCTCCATCATTCTTACCTTCTCCCCAAGCCCATCATTGATGGAGTGAAGTTTGACCAGATTTTCACTGAGCTCTTGCATTTCCACAAGCTTTTCAGCTAAAATATCCTTGAATATGAGAGAAACACTGCTTTGACATACAGTTTCAGAGAATATTAGAAAGTTTTCCTCTTCCAGATTACGTTTCTCTTCCTCCAACATTACGACAGAATTCATCAAGGAACTTTTCTGATCAATCATCTTGCAATTCTCTTCCTGTAAATTATTGCATATGCCTCCCAAATGCGATAGTTGCCCGCGGAAATGCTCTATTTCAGTCTTCAAAGCTTCTTCTTTGCAGTCTCCTTCAGCGACTTTCAACCTCAATTCTTCATTTATCTGCATAAGTTTCTGTATCTCACTCTGCAAAGATATGATTTGCTTACTCTGGATATTGAATTCCTTAGCAACAATGTTTTTCTCTGATGCAAGATCTTCTGCTTCTATTTTCAATTGCCTAAGCAATGCAACAAGAACAGAAGTCTCAATGACTGCCTGGTGGTTTTCATCCTGAATCTTTGAAAGTGAATTTTGCAACTCTTGAAACCTGCTCAATATATGATGCATAATAGTTTGGTCATGCTCCAACTTATCTTCATACCCAAGTTCTGCATCAATTTTAAGTGTGTTGAATACTTTATGAAGCCCCATCCTTAATAGTTGAATTCGATCAACTAGAGATTTCATCTCCAACTTGTATTGATGATTTTCACATTCCAGATCAGAGATCAGTTTCCCTGACAATTTAGATGCCTCCACAAATCTCTGACACTCAGCAAACAGAGAGAAATTCTTTTCCTCCAAATCTTTTACACATTTCTGAAAGATGAAAATCTCAATTTTTGCATTCAAAGATTTGTCCAGCTCTTTCTCATATTCTTTCTTCCTGCACTGACTATCTTCCTGTAACAAGCAGATCCGCTGTTCCATGTCAACCATCTGGGTTTCACTTAATTGAGTGAAACTAGCATATTCTTGGTTCTTAGCATCTAATGAAACTCCTAGCTCTTCCATTTTCTGATATGCCGACTCTTTCTCTTTATCTAATGCTAAATACTTCCCTTCTAGTTCTCCATATTCTTTTTCCAGATCTTCCAAGCTTTTCCTGGTGATCTCTAACTGGGAGAGTAAGCTTTCTCTTTCAGTTGTCAAGTCAGAATTCTTGTTATCAAGTAATAAGCAAAAATCTTCTAGGCTCTTCAGTTTTACCCTTACTCCTTCAAGTTCAGCATTGGCATCGAAAAGGGAATTCTCCAGAAAATCTTTCTTCTCAGAGAGTTTCTCCAAATTTTCGTTTGCAATCTGTAACTGACAAGTAAGTGTGTTCTTCTCAGCAGTAAGATTGGATTTCTCTCCCATGAGAGACTGACAAGATTCTTCTAATTCCTTCACCCTCTGTCTGATTCCTTCCAACTCATCATTAAGATCTGAGATGGAATTCTCAAGAAGAGCATTTTTCTCAACGAGCTTTTGCATGAGCTCCAACTTCTCCACAAGTTCTGCCTTTTCACTCCTCTCTTTCTCGGTGGATTCTTTGAGGTTTAAGTTCTCATCCTGCAATTCCTTCACAGATGACCCAAAGCAGTCTGGATCCAAGCCAACTGATTCCACCTGGTCCGTCATGGCTTTATTTTGCTTGCTAAGTTCATTCAGCTCCTCTCTCAGACAATAAATTTCTTGCTGCAGGGCATTTCTTTGGTCCACTCTAAGTTCAACTTCAGCTTCAAGCTTACCTATTGTCTTCTTCAAACTTAAAATCTCATCTTGCAAATTTTTAATTGACATAGCTGACGACAAATTTAGTTCATTCAAGTCCTTGTTTTCTTCCTTTACTTTCTGGACTTCATCATGTAAATCCCGATTATGAGTTTCCATGTCCTTCAGAATTTGAGCTCTGTTCTGAAGCTCTGTAGCCAGAGATCTTAGTTCTTCCTGAGACTGAGAGTGCAGATGCTGCAAAGTTTGGAAGGCAGTCTCAGCCTCCACAAAGCGCAAGCGCTCTTCTTGTATGCAAGTCCAAAGTCTCCCCAATTCTTTCTGTTTCTCTGTAAGTTCTTGACTTTGACTTCCCATTTTTTGCACCAAAGATTCTAACTCAGAATGCAGACTTTGATTTGATGTTTCCAACACGAGACACCTTCCTTCAGCATCATTTAATTTCACAAGCCCATCTTCTATGTCATGGGTAAGCCTTTCAACCTCCTCTTGGGCACTAGCAAGATTATGCTCCAGATTAGCAATTGTCTCCATACACAGCTGGTACTGAAGAGCAGATGCATCCTTCTCCTCAGTCAGTCTAGAAAGTGCTTGCTTGAGGATTTCCACGTCCTCTTCAGCTTTTTCTGCTTGCACCTCAGTCCTCCTGGCATCTTCCTCAGCATGTCGTAGTTTTTCATTCAAGTCAGATATCATCTCCAAGCATTTTTCACATTGAATAAGAGCAGCTTCCTTCTCAGTCTCTACTTCAACAAGGTCTTCCTTTAGAGCTTGATTTTCAGTTTCAGCTTTACTTGCTCGTTCATTAAGTTCTCCAATATCCTTCTGGGCATTAGAGATACTGTTCTCCAAGTGAGTTATTTTTTCCATACACTGTTGGTATTGAAGAAGACTAGCCTCCCTTTCAGCCTCAAGTTTGGTGAGTGCTTCTTTTAAAGTTTGAACTTCAGCTTCAGCTTTCCTGGCTCGTTCATTTAGCCCCACAGATTCCTCTTGTGCATGAGACACTTCTGACTCTAAATTAGACAACCTCTCCAAACTTTGCTGATACTGAAGTAGACTAGCTTCCTTTTCAGCTTCTAACTTAGCTAGTGCATCCTTTAAAGCTATGATTTCTGTCTCAGCTTTGCCAACTTGTTCAGAATCAGAAAGAACTTGAGCTTGGATATTGGGACTCCAATTGCTTTTTACATTTCTTCCCGTCTCCTCTGCATCATGAAACTTGAGGCCTTTCCTTGCCTTCCCATCTCCAGAGCCAAACAAATCATTTAGCTGTTTCAAACCCTTTCTGGTAGTTACGGAATCATGTTCATCGGTAAAGGCTCCATTCCTTTTAACAGTATGTAAATGAGATGGAGAAAGTCCCAAAGCATCCTTTGGAAGCTCATCAGGGTCAAATGAAGCACGTATCAGGGCTGGCATCTCAGGTGTAACAGGATCCTCCATGATCAAAGGACCTGCAGGTGAATCATCACCAAACATCAGAGGGACTTGGTTAGGAAATGCTTCAGCCATTGTCCGATGGGCCTGGCGAAGCACCCCAGTTGCATGATCATATCTTTCAGCTAATGCACGGTATGCACGATAAAACTCTTCAACCAATTTCATAAGCTCAGGTCGTTTCTTATAATACATCTCTGCCCTCCTAGCAAAGGAATCTGCATCTTCTTCAATGAGCTTGATCATTTGTTTGACTTTAGCATCCATATCTGTTCAAAGCAGAAGAAGAACTTCTATAGCAACCACAATATTAGATAGACATCATATATTTAAATAAACACTTTGTTGGGGGGAGGGGGGGGGGGTATATATATTTGTGTGTAGATAGAGAGAAAGAGAGAGAGCAATTGATGCTTAGAGTTAGAATGCTTGAAACAACAGCAGGATTACTCATAAAAAATTCAGATCCGCACTCACATTACCACCATGTTGATGATAAGGACATCCCTTTATTATTAGAGAAGTTGATTTGACAATTTACTTCAAGAGTTGTTCAATCAAAAGATGTGGCAAGTGGTAAGAAATTTTTCAGAAATACTGTGACAAATGGATCAGTAGGGATTCTCAGAGATTTAGTGAAATAGACCATTTGACATAGTTCTTTTCTGTGTATGACGCGAGGCCGTTTGGTCTAGATTCATGTAACAATGAAGACCAAACTGGAGAAGTTAATAATTGTAATTGAAAGGTCGGAATTCAAAGATGATTCTCAATATGGTATAGTCACCCTAATGGGCTGAGGAGTAGCATAAGGTTATGAAGAACTATATCTAATATAGGAAATGAGATACGATACCACATAAAGGAGAATTCTCCTTTTCCAGAAGTGGATAAGAGTTCATTCAGATGTGATTTTTTTGTTTTAGAGGAAAAACAAATAATGCTTCTTGGGAAGCACATGACCAACCTCTTGCCTACAACTTCAATATGCACCTCTTCAAAATTACAGGACTGCTATTTTATTTACTGTCATAGCCATTGCAGGTAAAAAATATCTCTTAATGGTTCATGATGAAAGAAACATGAAGAAACCACAATTCTTCCGTTTATAGCATCTATATCAATTTTAGGTGTTAGTGAAGTTGTGGTGAGAGAAGACAAGAAAATGGAAAACTAATCCCTATCTGTAAAAAAAGAAAAAATAACAATAATAAAATGCTTCTGATTTTCCAGCGCTCCAACTTGACTAGATACAAAAAATTTAAGTATAACCAGGACAAACCAGCTCACATAGTTTCCAACAAATACTTCAAAGAAAACCATTTTTGGATAAATGGAAATTGGAATACCTGTCTCATTTCTTAAGCAGCTAACCATATGGGTACATGAATCATGTGTCAACTATTGAACTCCCAAGTTAGATTCAGAAATTACATATGTCACATCATTCAAAGTTTACAGCAAGTGTAA